TTTTCAACATCCATTTTATCTTTCTGTTTAGATCAAGAAGGGAGACGCACTCACTTCTAAACTGTGAACCAACAGAATGAGGTCATTCAAGTCAAGTCAATTCTGTACAGCCTCTCTCTCCAAATGGCTAGCATTACATTGGGAGAGAAGATCTTCAGCACCAACAACTAGGAAACTGACTTCCAATTCCCGGTTAGTAGAGTAGAGAAGCAGAAATTACTTCCACTAGGTCCAGCCGTAACTTTATGTTACGGTAGAATGTGGATTTCACCAGCCTCTCCATTACTGCCGAGAGTGTGTCTGGTCGGCTTTCTAATAGTTGGAAGTCGACATCATGCCGGACACGTTTAACTGTATCAATGTAATTCATGGGAGTAGAGATCCTACTTGGAATCTAAACTGTCAAGCTGTCATGTCAATTGATAGTAATGCGTCCCCCTTGACTACCTCTGACAAAAAGAGAACGGATCTTCCTGTCTCCACAGAGCACTTCCATTTGCAAAGTCTAAACACTATCTTCACTCCAAAGGACAAGATCTACTTCTTCTACCTGCTAACAGTCAATGCATCAAACAATCTTCCAACATTAACGACTTTATTTTATCCGAGAAGGGGAAAAATTTAGGAAAGCGACTTCCACAGGCCTGACAATTTTTCCACACTGTGCTTGCCCATGCATACCACTACCACCTCTACCTTCACCATCGGTGCATAAATAATTTTTTTCTGGCATAAATCATCACAAAAGTATAAAATGAATGTGGACAATCATTTTCACACTTTTTAAGTGAGGAAAGCGGACCTGACACCCCTGTTACTGTGTTCCACGGCCATGAGGGAAAAAGTAGCTCATCACACCAAACACTGACGGAAGGAAGTTGTCATAGAGTTGTGGAAATTTTTACAAGGTAACGTTAAAGGGCATTTAAAGAGATATTGAGAGGACTTGTTCCTTCCGTAATAAATCAAAACTCTATTTAACTTAAGGAAGAAAAAAAGGGCAGCGGGAATGAAGTAGGACCCTTTAAATTGACCGCCCATGTAGGACGAAAAATATAGTTTATGAAATTGCCCAGGGAATCCTAATCACATGAAACTAACTTCTCCGTGTTAAGATTTTTTGACTTTTTTAAATTGGAGAATAATTAAGCAAGAGTAGTGTTTAATTTGAACCGTAGATTTGATTCCAGCCTCTCTGCCCCAAGAAACAGGAAGCTGAAGTCAGTTTCCTAGTTGTTACTGCCGAGGAGCGTTTCCTCTAATGGGATGCGTGTCACGTAGAGAGGGATGCGGTGGCAGAGCATGACAGGAAGCCATCGAGCAGAGACGAGTGCACCTCTCTTCTTGATGTTGGAGGTGGGGAGCAACTTGTAGTGCTGTCAGGCGTGAGTGATGACGAAACAGTGGATTGGAAGCCACTTAAACAGGGAGGAGGAAGTGGTGGAAAGATAGAACTGCTTACTTTTCGACTGACGTGGCTCATCGGAGATCCACTCTCGCCTAAACCACCTGCTACATAATACCCACGCGGCTATGCTTGCCTTGAGCGGATGTGATGGACTGCTCCCTAGAAGCGTTCCACACGCTGAAGGCAAAGTAGCGCCCAGAGGGTAGACCTACCCTCTGACTGAATCCTGCCTTGTCGTTGATTGCCAACGGATCCGGTAAATCAGTAAAAACCGCAGTCCATTCACCCTCTCACAAAATATCACAAAGCAAGATAGCTGTAAAAACTGAACCGTAAGAAGACCCCACCCGCACCTTACGATGGGATGAAGGGAAGCTTTAACCTTATCTTCTGCAATCCTCCGGCCCATATTTCTCCCCTTTATGACCATCTTCCTTGATTCATACCCTTGCTGCCTTTAAATAAACAGGTGGGAAATAAAAGTGAGACAGAATGGGGTGTGGTCAGGGGCGGGCTTACTTATTGGACGCCGAAGATAAGGGGTATTATGTCTGGCTTGATTAAGAAGGTGTGAATGGTATCCGGAGCATACAGGCTATCATAGTAGGCAAGCTCCTTCATTACTGGGGGCAAAGCGAAATGAAGGTCTTCCCCATCAGGTAATGCAATCACAGTGCCAAATGTGGACAAGAAAATGAAAGAAGTAAGTCCGACTGGCTGAGAGTACCTTCCCTCCAATCTGCAGACAATGGAGAGTAGTAGTGGACCTTACTTCTGACATTATCATCGCAAATCTCAACTACCTCTTGGGGATTGACTTTGTTCTGTCTTAAGAAATGACTTTGCCCCATTTAGAGTTATCATCAGATGGACAGTCCTCTTAATGCGATGTCTGGCTATTGTACTGAGTTGATCATTAACCTGCCTCGTTCCATTTTTGCGACGGTAAAATCCTTTATTTTGCTGTAAATTTACCCTTATATAAGAGTTTTACAAATTCGCTGGGACAGCTGCAAGATTTGGGTGATTATGCAGCTAGAATCAAAGAGACTCGAGTCTGAAGCCCTGCAGCAGGAAGAAGACAAGCAGACCTACCCTCTGCTCACCGCCGTTTCTATCTCAGCCCACTTTTGACTGCCTGGTCCATTCTGTATATGGCCACAGGAGAGAGTGAAATCAAGGAAGGATTATAATCGCTTAAGGAGATGTGAGGAAGCTACATAGGACACGATAATAAAACTCTTCTTAGAGGCAGGATTCCGCGTGAAGTCTAGCATCTTTACAACAAATGTTAGGGGAAACTTCTCCAGCTTCAAGATCGAGTTAAACTTAGCTTGTTAAGCCGACAAGCTCAGATCACATGCATCGCTTTTAAATAACAAGTTACATCAGCCCATTGCATGGATTCACCGACAGTGAGTCAAGGTCACATATGAGATTGTGAAGGCTTCTTTAAGAGTGGTTGTCCGTAGCGAGAACAACACCACACCTCCAATTCCGCACTCCCGGGTCTTGTTCTGTTAAGGTGAATCAAAGCCACACTAGATTTTACAACGGGCTGAGGAGGGATGTGACCCCAGAACAAAAGTCCTAACTTAACTTCCCAAAAAACCCTTCTTTCTTGGGTAAATCCTGAACATTCGAGAATGTCGTGCTCTCGCCTGGCTGATAGCAAGCTCAGATACACGCTAAGGGCGCTGATACCCATTAAGAGGTTAAGGTCAATCAAATACTGTAAATCTCTGCTAACTAGCCAGGTGGCGGTCACGCATGCATTGCATATACCTTACTTGCTAAATCCCACCGGCAAATAAAGCCGTCTGTATCAAAGGCTGTCCACTAACCGCTCAGGTTGGCAACTCGACGGGATCCAAGTTCCCACGCATAACACCAGACCATAAAAAAGGAAGATAAACTTTTAATATCTAATTAATAATTTTCCTTGTAAGTATATACCCTTTTAAGCAATAGAAACAGCCGGATTTGATGCAAACAGCTTCAATTTCTGGTGATATAGGATTGAGCGGGTTGGCATTGTAAAGGAGGATTTACCGCTAGTCCTGATTTCTGAAAAAAAAAGAAGGAGTTATCATCGTACCAAATCGAGTGATTAGTTTTCACCCGTAGGCACGATTTGGCCTTCGAGAAGGGAACAATTCAGTCGCCGTCCCACTATACCCACACAAAAAAACAATTTTTCTGACACATCTTGGAAGCGTCCAGAGAGAATTGGTGAGTCGTTTTAAGAAAACCTATCCAGGTTTGTCAAATAATAAGATACTGAAATAAAATACAAAAGTTGTTTCTCATCCCATGCCATCCAGTTAGTTAGGAAATGATCTAAAATTAGCAGAGCGTATTTTTCGTTTTCATAAGTAATCGGAAGGAAAAAATTGAATGTCTTTCAAGCATATTGTTATCCATTAATGCGTGATAGTGAAGTTCATTTGTTAAGTGGCTACCGCCCCGACTTCCACTGCTCTGTGTGTATTTGTCAGCCCATTGTTTCAACATCGCTTTCTCCCACCGGAACTGAAAGTTTGACCTGACACGCTAATCTCCCGGTACTTTTAAGTCTTAGTGGCACATGCTTATCTAGTTCGATCAAAGAAGAGGGTTTTTACTAGCTTGAGTGATCAAATACCAAAATGCACCTTTCTGGAAGTCAATATAGAAGCAAATTTCTGGCACTAAACCCGTCGGTTTTTGTCCTACCAAATGAGCCTAAACATCACTTAAACTGATATTAACGGAACGAACGGTACATTAATAAATTCTTCCCAATAAAAAATAGGATGCCTAATTGCTTATCAACTACTATTTGAAAGCAGAAAACAATACATTATTATTTCCAGTAAGTTAAATGATAAGAAAGGGTAAATTCGCCTGTTATACAGGTTGTGCTTTTGACTCAAAGACGCGAGAACATCCATCATCATCTAAATTTTGAGACTCTGGAGTGAAGGATGACCCTTTTTGTCACTCGTTAGAGCAAATTTGAGAGGCAAGCATATATTTTTCGTCTTTAAGTCATTCTTTTACTAGTGAAATCAAGTTCTTAAATCTGGAAACCAAATATTATGTTTTGATGCATTGACAAGCCGTCTGGGTTTGAGCTATCCTTGAACGCAACTTTGACAGTCTTTTGTAAATGTCCGTTTTTTAGAGAAGCCATGACTAAATGGCAAACGTTAATTATACATTTGATAAGTTTTTCGACATTGCCCTATGTGAAAAAGATTAATAAGTCCCCGAATAGGCCAAAAAATGCTAACGTTTTACCATCAGCGAGGAAAACTGTAATCACACTCAGCGTGCACTAACTTGTCTAGGCTCCAAAAGCTCGTAAACAATTGCGTTGGATTCACCGCTCCCACAAATAGCTTCCTTTTCCTCTTGTGTAATTTGGTGGGCACGTTATTGGTTATGCGCCGATAGAGCCGTCCATACTTAGGTGCCTAGAGGAATAACTGCCAAGTCTACTGTCCATTAACGGAATTACACGATTTCGGAATTGTCAATGGTAGATATTAAGGCGTATGTTTGAACGAGTTTTAGTCTAAACTTCATTTAATCGGATGTTTCACTGATGAGTGGCTTGGTGGATCAGCGTCACTGCCATTATCTTTCCGTAGTGAGGTAGAATGCTTCAGTGGACAGCAGTAAATGGACATCTACTAATTTGAGTCTCAAGCGGGTATCTGTCAAAAAGAAACTTTTGTTAATTAGCAGATGGCGATGGACTTATGCACCTTGATGGTTGCTTACCATCTTGAGGAGTGACTTCTGGACTGCATCAGTCTGACCCAAACGCGATGTGTACTCTGGCCGCCCATTCACTGTGACATACTGTACTGTCACGATATCAAACTTAACGTCCTGACCCGGTCCAAACAACCCTATACTGATTCCCATCTCCAATTTCAATTCAATCACCTTAACTCTTCTTCTGAAATTACTTGGCACTACGTCTTGGAGATTACGAAGTATTCGGTCATCTATACCCAAGGCCCGCATGTTTACAAACGATGCATAATTTTATAAATGCTTCATTTCCTTATTTATTAGACGAAGGTTTTTTATCGTTCAGAAAATCCCGGTTTGCTTTTGACGAACTTTGATGGATTTAAGCATTTATGACGCACTCTAAGGATTCCTCGACACTGCATTTTTAGCAATACCAAGCATGCAAACCTGATCCAAAAGGACACGTACTCTAACTACTTTGCATTTAGAGAGCCGGGACTGTGAACCAGAAACCTACGTGGAACTGGAACACATAAATGTCTATCACCTGATGGTTGAAGACGACCTCAAGCACACCACAGGTTCGGTGGTGGTAGCGACGCTGAACCACTCAGCAGCACAATCGTCAGTGAAGACAGTAACTTATGTGGACAGCGGATCATGGAAGCTCCATAGACGCATAGCCTGTGGCGGAATAAGGGGACTATCCTCGGGCGTAAGAAAGATATTTGTGATATGGGTAATCACAATGCCACTAAGATTATTTCAACATGAAATAACTCTCGTTAAAATCAATCGTTTTTTAAAAATGGGTAAATATATGATTTTCTTATCCAAAACTTGGGTTACCTGAATAACCGACTTGATTAATTTGTTCATGTTTTAATGGGCAAAAAACTGTGCCGGCTATTTAAGCTTCGGAGGTCACGCTTTTGCTAGATGGTGCTAGATTTCTTGCAGCCTGGTACGACCTCGGCGAGAACTTCAGTCTTTCGGCTTTTCCTTTAACTTCTACCTGCTGAAGCAGCAGAAGCTGATCAAAAAGGAAGAATGCAGAGTAAATTCAACGCAGTGTTTTTGTTTTAAACTCATGAGCCAAAAGGTAGAAGGGTGGAATTTCAAAAAGCCCTAGACCGTAGCACATATAAGCATTATTCCTCGCCACTCCTAAAAATTAGGTTAGCTTAGAAGCAAAAAACTCAACTTTTGATGGGCACTGTCTAAAAGACCAGAAAATCTCTCTCTCATCTAGGAATTTCTTCTTTCATGTCCCAATTCCCGAACGTTATAGAGCGTCTCGAAACTCGCTCTCTTACTCAGCCTTTAAATGTGGTCATTACAGCTGTAAGGCTAAAACCAATCAAGATACCGTAAATAGGCAAGGAAGGGTGGATCCGCCTCCTCTTTCACTCTTCCCTCACACCTCTAGTGGTTGGTCAACAGTCATGCGCCCTTGCGCCTCGTCCCCAGCCCACTTGTACTAACGGACAATAAAACATTGGCATGAAAGTCTTTGCCTTTTTGTTTCCTCTGAGGGTGAATGCTCGGCAGGACCCAAGCTCATCCACGAAACAGCGGAAAGCCAAAGGTCATAAAGAGGGCAAACTGAGGCAGTCAAGATTCACGTAAATCAGTGGAGATATCGCATGTGCATTCATGTCCTTCTAATTTTGCGGCGC